GTCAACCACTGGGGTATATTTTGAGTTAAACTGTCCAAGTATGGGAAGTTTGAGTCCAAGTATGGGAACAAATGCCCTGGAGGCGCAAAAATTATACTGGCTCTGCCAGAATCTTGGTAAAGATCCTGGGGGCCGCTGATAGCCCAAACGGGAGTGCCCGAAACTGCCAGTGAACTATTCCCACACTCGTTCTGACCGCAAACCACACTCCTGATGGTCCAAATGGGTATGTGCAGATACGCATCTTTTAAATTCAAGGTGATCATAAACTGATTTTCGGAGGGTTCTTCGGACCAAATAAATACTCTCCATCCTGAAATGCTTGAAAATCAGGAAGATTTAATTTATTCAGATTTAACATCATCCGGAATTTGCCTGATGGTTTTGGCACCAAAAAGACATGAGAATAGAACCCCAGAAACTGCTAGCCCACGGGGACTGGAACTATCACATTCTGGAGGCCAGAGTTTGAATGCACCTCGCTTAATGTGTGAGCTGCCCCCTGTTCCTTGGGCAACCTCGTTAGAAAAAAGTTTTGGGGAGGCAGAGTTAAAAATTCCAGGCGATAACCCCTTTTTAAAAGGTGTCTATAATAAACTGACTGAGATCTTTTCCCAGCGAGACACAAAAGCCTCCCGCCTACCCTCATGGTGGCGTCACTTGGGGTCTTTGTTTACGGCTGAAAACAACAATCCACCCTTGGATTTGTTCTTAAGGCCAGCCTTTCTTTTGGAACTGGGGTTTATTGGCTTGTCACTTCTGCTCCTGAGGGGGACGAAAAAAAACGTCTATTACGTATCCTCTTTTTCTCTGGGAATTTCTTCCCCTTTCTAAAGTATCTAGTCAAAACCTCATCCAGCCAAACAATAAACCACCCTCGAAAGGGAGAGAGCAGAGCCTGGACTGGGACGTAACATCCCCCCTCCTATGTTTTCAGCCAGATAGCCCGCCTGGCAGAATTCAAAAGCGCACCGGCCCTGGCTGAGACTCCAACAATCTCCGCAGAGGAGTCTGCTAAATAAGCGACCTCTTTACCAAAAACTGGCAGGGATTCCAACACCTGTTCCGCCGGTGCTCCCTGAGAGATGTGCAGGGAAGCATTGTCCAACCATAGGTCCATATTGCAGGCCACGCAGGTAGCTGCTACTGCTGGAGCCATGGAAGCGGCAGTTTAATTCCATGCTCTACGTCGTAAAGCTTCTGCCTTCCTATCCATCTGGTCTTTAATATTCCCAGCATCCTCAAAAGGACAGATTAGCTTTTTTGGAAACCTGGGCCAAAGCTGCATCCAACTTAGGACACTTGAAATATTTGTCCTCCTCCTCTTTAGCAAAGGGGAATCTCCTTTTCCAGGATCAGAAACCCAGAAATTTCCTTTCTGGCTCTCTCCATTCCCTGGGGCAACAGGTGGCACAGAACTTTGGGGCGCCAATCTGTCTGTGGGTGAAGGATCCTAGACAAAAATCACAACACAGTAAACAACGCAATCCCCAGAGCAGCAAACCACAATCACACTATCAGGCAGGGCCCGCAGGAACCCTCCTGGACTCACCCCACCCTTGGACCTGGATAAAGCGGTAGCCAGCTTGCTCTCCTCATCCATCTGAGCAGTGAAGGCTATTCTCCCTCTTCTGTCCTGAATTGAGTTCCGAGCCTCGTCTCAGCGTGCAGAGAGGTGCGCAGCAGAAGTGACCTCACTTCCCTTAAAATGAACCCTGGAACGCATGTCACGCCCCCATGCGCTCCAACACCCTGCGCACAGCCTACCGCCGCCCCAGAGCGACAGGGCACCACAGCCTGGGGTTTCAGGCTCCTTCCCGCTGCACGAAAAAAAAAAAAGGGAAGGACAACCTGGAAAGAAGGGGAAAACACCACTGCACCTACAGCAAGACCACCAGCGACAGAGGACCCAGTAGCAGAGCTCCACAGCGGGGGCGGGGGGGACCAGCGATCTCAAGACCGACCGGACCAAGGAAAATAACAAACATGACGAAGCGTTCCTGGAGGTAGGAAACACAAAAAAAAACGAGGGAGGAGGGGGTGGGAGGGTATTTAACCTCTTTTTGGTTTGTGTTTCCTGTAGTAGGAGGTGCCAATCATCTCAGGTTGCTGGCCTGGAAGATGATTGGAGAAATATAAGTTTTTACTTCACTGGCTGAATTCTTGCCATGGATGTGTGAGTTCTAAAGTATTTAAGGCAAGGACAATACAGCATTGACAGCCTGTTTTTCACGCAGTACAGATTAAAGTGACCATCAGAAGAGAAAATTAACCCAGTCACCCTTGAAGTTTCAGGGGGCAGCAAGTTGAATCTTCACTCTCTTTAAGAGCTACAGGCACAACTGATATCTCACATATATGGCCGTGTTGAATACCTGATCACTCATTGTGGACTGTGGTTTCACCCGACGGCCCCACGTCACTACAGGGCAAAGTGGTTATGTAGCAGATGGTGGTATGAATCACCCTGTGCAACAGGGGAATGGGTATCCAACACGCCCAGAGTGTCTAAGATTACCGGTGCCCATAGCTTTTCAAGGAGATTTGACTTAACATCCACCTGAAAAGTAAGCATTCATGTATTATTCTTTTACACAGTTCCTGTAATCTAATGTTCTTACACTAATGTAAATTTTTGTCAAGTTTGTATTCCAGTCTGTGACCCCATTGGAGAGATTTTCACTCACTTCCTGTCCTTATGACACCTGTACAGGAATGGGAAGGGGAGACAGATGTCACCCCTATGAAGGGGGTGCCAATATTACTGGGACAGAAAGCAATTCTAACCGTTCCCCACTGTATAAAAAAAAAATGTGTTTGTATTAGTTTGCCTGTAGGAAAGTTTTCACTTTAGTTCCTGTCCTGACTGGATGCAAGGGGAACCTCCCTTATATGGACACAGACACAGGCTCTAACTGCAGCAGTTGGCAGATGGCAACCGCCTCGTCATACGAGCAAAACCATGGACACCGGCACTCCAACTGCTGATTAAGTACGTCTATTTATTAACGTACATACTGCATAGCAAATAATGAATTAAGTGTATTTGCTTTGCAGTATTACGTTAATAAACAGATGTACTTAAATCAGCTATTGGAGTGCCGGTGTCCATGTTTTGTTTTTTTTTTACAGGGGAAGGAATAGGGCCCCCTGTGCCAGTTAAAAGCAAGCAAATGGCTATGCCTGGAATTTTTTTGACTGGCTTTATATAGGAATTTATATGTACCGTATTTGCCGGCGTATAAGACGGCCCCCCACTTTGTGTAAAAATATAGGTTTTGGGCTATACTCGTCGTATAAGACGAGTATAGCCCAAAACTATGTTTAAATGCACTTACTAACCTCCTTGGCGGTATTCCCGAGTGTGGCTCGGGGTTAATTTTCAGTACCATAAGTGTTAACCCCGAGCCACACTCGGGATTACAGTCTCTTACCTTGTCCAGGATCCCAGCAGCATCCTCCATCTTCCGTCCTTCAGCTACTACCGCACTGAGCCAATCACGGCAGGTTTGTATTCTTTAATACAAAGCCTGTATTTACTGAATGCAAAGCCTGCCGTGATTGGCTCAGCGCTGAGCTAATCATGGCAGGCTTTGTATTAAAGAATACAAAGCCTGCCGTGATTGGCTCAGCACGGTATACTATATGTAGCCGTAGCTACATACAGTATACCCGGCGTATAAGACGACCCCCGATTTTCAGGCGATTTTTTGGGGTCTTAATCCACGTCTTATACGACGGCAAATACGGTACACACATATAAAAGCCCAGTCATCAGTTTAGTCATGAATATTGGCCTGGAGAATTCTACGGCCAATAATCATTCTGGCGCACGCGGCAATACCTGACCTATGCAGCACAATCGTCATTTTCATACATAAGTGCACCCAGCTTGTGTTTCCGGCCGCTGGATGGTAGCAAGCCGTAAGAGGCGGCATGGGGGAGCGGCAGGGACATGGAGAGCACCTCAGACCGCAGCATGCAGGGGCTTCCAACAGGGAGCCCCGACTGCAGGGGTCTGTGTCCCCTCCCATCACCGCTGGGAGCAGCGGAGATCAGAGGGGACACAGAGCCCATGAAACAAGTAATCAAAGACTATTCTCATTAAGCCGATTAGTGGTTGCTGCCCTATACAGCGTACTTACGCGCGCACCCACATTACTGGTTCAAATCCCGGTCAGACACTGTCTGCAAGGAGTTTGCATGTTCTCCCTGTGCTTGTGTGGGTTCCCTTCCACACTCCAAAGACATGCTGGAAGGTTAATTGGCTCCTAACAAATATGGCCCTATATGCATACATGAGATAGGGACCTTAGATTGTAAGCTCCTTGAGGGCAGGGACTGATGTGAATGTGCAACTATGTAAAGCGCTGCGTAAATTGTCTGGGCTATATAAATACCTATGAAAAAATTAAATTATATATACAGACACTGTACGGAATGTATTAAAACTGGAGCAGATGCACTTGGCAACCAATCAGCTTTTCTCCTCAGTTTCTTCAATTAAGATTTGAAATGAAAGAAGAAGCCAATTGGCCACAGTCTTTATATACAATGGCCCCATATGCTTTTATTTTAGATAGACCTCTCTAGAATTTTTGCACCTCCTTGGAATCAGTTAGGTTTTCTTGCATCATATCAGTAAAATATTAATGATATTTCACTTGCCACGCACCTGGATCATTCTGGCACTCCAAGTTTTTCTTCAGTGACTGTTACACCCAAGGTTTCCAAACACATTACAGGCATAAAATTAAGAGCAGCATGACTTCCCTTATCAATTTCTGGAACGTTTGATCATACAAAAAACGTATTAATCCTAAGATCTAGCCCTACCTAATAACATACCCATTGATGATTATGTACCAATCAACTTGCCTGTTAAATTTTCCTAACCTGTACTAGCAAGGTGGCAATTAGTGGTTAATCTGCTCTAATTACATATAACAATTATACAGACAACTTTTTCTTCTCAGCTAATTCACCAAGACAGGAGGATGGAGAACAAACAGAATGTTTTATTTACATACTAGAAAAAGGGCGCATTGAAAAAATAAAAGTTTGTTATCAAACATCCTGCACAGTCTACAACAAAGCACATATTAATAGTTCGCTTCTTGCAGAGCTCCTTGGCAAAATGATGTGAGATCAAGGTAAAAAGAAAAATCAGCAATAGTCCACATTGTGGCGATGGAATGTGTTTTCTGCAAAGGTCAGAGAACCATAAGTGCCTTTTATGTTTTTTTCAAATCAGGCACAGTTTTTCCCCTCAAGAGGTGGCACTCTTGATTAGTACAATGCAGGACACAAATACTCATGCCCCCTCAAAACACAGACATGGCAGGAATCAGTCTGTGCTATCACAAGGACAGAAGGCCGGGCTTAAGAGTCGTTAGTAGACCATGAGGCACAAAGATGTCGCAAATCACCTGTAAACAAAAACACAAAACATAAGAAAAGGTTAGTCTAACAAATGCAGGGTGAATTTATCAAGGTCTTGAAGATTGATAGGACTTACCTTCTTATATTTCGAGATTCAAAGATTTTCTCTTCATCACTTTCCATAGATCCCATCTCCATGTTCTCATCATAGTCCGACAGAAGCCCATATTTCTTCCTCTGTGGTTTCTTTTTTAAACTGTAGAAAGGAATTTTTAGTGAACATGGTGACAAAGTTATTTTAGACAATTGCTATCTCATTTGTATTCATGCTAAACCAATTAGCATTTCCACTTGATTTACCCTAGGAGTTAGTAACAATCTGTACCACCTTCATGTTCCTTTCTGGACTACCTCATCCTTTGGGTCAGCTGGAGGAACTAAGAATATTGTTCTACAAGGATTGGGAATCATTGGTTACAATCTAGCCAAAGCAAATTGGCAAGATTTGTAAAACAATGCTAACAGCCTAATCAGTCAAGTTATAGCAAGGAGCTAAAAAGTTTTCCATTGGAATACTGCAAATAAAATGTCATTTTCAAAATGATCATGCAGGGAAAGCAAGAGGTTCCCCAAAATGGAATCATGGAATCACAGAGCTGTTTACACTCCCGTTCCTATAGTTGGCCACGACTTCATTCAACATGTGAGCAAAGAGAAGACTTGTAGGAGCTCCAAGTCATTTTGGTTAGAACTTACAGAACAATATGCCTGGCCCCACATGACAGCACAAGGACTGGTAACCAGCTGCTCAGGCATCGAATGCACTATCCCAGGATGAAGAGAAGCGACTCCCATGCTCCCCCAGCAAGTTTTGGGTATTTTCTAGAAATGCACCGAACCATTTTTTTTCCAGACCGATTACCGATGCTTTTACTCAAGTACTAGCCGATACCAATTACCGACCACCTTTTTTTATAATGTGATCATGTGACAGTTTTTCTACAACAAAACAGACTAATGATTTTCCAGCTGTGACCGCTGCAACCCTGGTAGTTCTACCACCGACACCAAGCTGTAGAGGGAATACATTATATAGCAATGCAGAATAGCACTGGCTATAGAGGACTACAAACCCCAGCAATACATTATACAACAATGCAGAATAATATGAAGCTGTATACTCCGTGTTGCTCACCAGAATTTGCGTGGTCTCACCAGGGCTGTGAAGCATCTCATGGGTGCGGGCGATGGGAGGAGGAGGCGACATGCGGCCCGACCGGTATTGTAAGCAGCGCCGCAAAGATCCTCGCAAGGCTGCCGTGAAGTCCCCAGCAAGCGCGGGACCTTACGGCAGCCACCTGTGTTTTAATCGGGGCATTTTCACGAGTACTTGTGAAAATGCCCCATATCGGCACAGATACTGTTATCAGTGCATCCCTAGTATTTTCACTACTCACTGCCACCATTACTTAGCACCTGTGAGCAAAATATGGGAGCCGTCATTGACGATTTTTCTTTCAAGGTGCAGACTCTGGGGCTTTTGTCCCATTTCTGGTTTTGCCATCTATAGTCAATGATGTGGAAAAGCCTCTAGCTAGTGATTGCTGAATCCTGAATCCTTTTTCCAGGTTACCGAGGTAGTAAAATAAGAATTTAAAAAAAATGATAGCCCCAGAATCAGCACCTTTCAAACCAAAAAGGCAATGTCAGTTTTCGATCCTTACTGGTTCCCTTTAATATTCCATGGTGATGAGGCAGCTCTTGCAGCGAAGAAAAGATAGGGATTGAAGGACAGGCGGCACACAGCTAAAGCTGGCCATACACTGCTATATTTTATTTTGTTTACTCTGCTGGCGGAACATTAAAAAAAACAACAACAACAACAAAAAACAGATTACTCCATCCATGCTAAACAGCGTGTTACTGTCAGAATATCTGATTGGCTGTGGTGGTGTGGGTCTTCCATCAGACTCCGGGCATCCACTGCAAATTTTGGCCGGTTCTTGCTGAACAGCCAGAGATTTGCCTGTGTATGCTTACTTGCAAACAACAGAGTTAGTTACCTGTTAACTCCATTTCCATGAATCCTACAGGACAGCATATAAGCACAGAGAAAGAGAGAACAGTCTCCTGATTGCCTCTATAAAAAACAAGAACTGAAGGAAACAGAATAGTAACCATACTACTATCGGTACAACACAGAGATCAAGCTGGGAATCCTTGCTGTCATGGAAGATTCACATGGTGCACATGGAATTGTTAATGGAAAACTACTCTTAATGGGTACTTCCTCGGCAGGGAAGGTTAGGGAAACTTAAAGCGACATTAAACTCAGGAGTTAAACCTTCAAAATGCATTCAAGAACCTTGGTTATTAATATGTATCTTATTTGTGTATCACTCAGCTGTAGAGCCTCAAATCATCTCTGAATATGTGCAGACACGGTCATTCCTTCTGGAGGGTGTCTACTTTTGTCCCCTATAGTACCTGTGTGTTGTAAAGCAACCACCGCTCCAAGCTCGCCTCATGATGGACTATAATTTCAACACAAATTTGCAGACTAAATGTGAGGTTGTAGTATATGTCGAATGTGTTGTACCTCACTACTTGGGTAGTACCGCTTTTTGCAATTCTACTTGATAACCCATCTAAATCAAATTGAATTTAAGTTGATTTTTCAGGGCTTCCCATCACTGTGGAAGGAATGCCCCTAATGTTCCCCACAGCAGCAGTTCTGACTCACTGAGATTTGGTGTTGGATTAAGGAAGATTAAATAGCAATCCTCGTTTGCCTTTCTTTTTTCATAAGGTTTTTCTGGCTTTTAGCACACTGGCTACAAATGTTTTTGTTGGTTGTTTTTTCTTCTCGTCTGCTGTCCTATGCAGCGCTGTTTCTAATGCAGATCGGAAGAGTAGATCTCCACTAAAACGGTAGCCTGCAGGCCCTGTGTTTAACAGGTGTACTAGACTCTTAAAAGTCCTGGCAATTCCTTCATACCCAGCCTGTAAGAGTTTAGGACAAGGTAAGAAAGATTTTTAAATTCCATGAGGCACATGTCTTACTCCTACAGGTACCAGAGGACGCACATGGGCTCTATCCTTTTGGGGTTTAAAGGTTAACAAAACAAAACAAAACAAAAAATCACACAATACTATAAAAGGACCCAGAGTAAAAAAGTTAAAAGGGACAAGCCCAACACCCAGAGTGGAGCAAAAAAGCCAAACAACCAACCCACCCCCAAACAGGACATCCTCCCAAAGTACCCCACCCCACAGTGCATCAGTAGAAGATCGATTATGAAAGAAATTCAACCTATCCTTGCCCAAGTCTGTTGAATCTGTAGTAGCGGCCGTGGCAGAATTAGACCGCATGTTCTGGGCCAGGTCTACCCACAGCTCTGCACTACATTTCTGGCACCTGTGGGTCTGGCACTAGGGACCAAGCACCCACCGCACAACAGTTTGCTTGTAACCTATCTTGGAAGACACCAAAAGCCAACTTGGACCGCATGTCACCCATGTCCGTGCATCATAAGTGCATCAATGGCTCAGTGAAAGTGTGTCACCCACTAGGAAGTAGCCAGGGACACCACTGCTCCAGAACGCTCTGACATGAGGGAGTGTAAGCGTGGAGAAAGCAGCAGGGCTTCAGCTCGGCACTGTGCGCTCCCCAACACCTCCAGAGGCACACCAGAGGGACCAGAGCCTGACTAATTGCAAGTCAGGGAGGGAGAACAGACTGAGGAAAGCTCAAGATGGAAAAAAATAGGATTTTTGTACTCACCGTAAAATCCTTTTCTCTCCGTTCATTGAAGGACACAGGGCAACAGATCGTAGATCCTGAATGGTAGGGTATATCGCCACCTGCAGGAGTAGGACGCTAGGCACATAACAAAAAGACAAGACAGCCTAGGGGCGGCCCCTGCTGGTGGCCCAACCCCTCACTTGCTGACAAGTCTCCAGTAAGTAACAAGCAGTTAGGAGTGCACACCCCATAAAAGAGGGCGGGGCCTGTGTCCTTCAATGAACGGAGAGAAAAGGATTTTACGGTGAGTACAAAAATCCTATTTTCTCTCCCGTTCATTGAAGGACACAGGGCAACAGATCGTAGATCCTGAATGGTAGGGACGTCACCAAGCAGTAACACACTGAGGGATGGGCAACAACAAACAAAAAACCCAAAAGACCCCTCAAAGCGCCGCCTGCAACACTTTGCGCCCCAGACCAGCATCCGCCGATGCGAACACGTCCACCTTGTAAAATTTAACAAAGGTGTGAACAGAAGACCAAGTAGCGGCCTTACAAACCTGAGAAACAGAGGCCCCATGGCGGAAAGCCCAGGACGCCCCAACAGCCCTAGTAGAATGGGCAGTGACAGGAAATGGAGGCTCACGCCCCTTAATGGCGTACGCCTGAGTCACAACAGTACGAATCCACCTAGAGATGGTATCCGCCGACGCGACCCGACCCTTACGAGGACTTCCAGCGACGACAGAGCTGCTGAAAAACCTCCGGGTGCAGAGAGCACTCCCCGGATCCACCGACTGTCGACAGAGGTAATCGGCCTGCCAATTGTCTACTCCCGGGATGTAGACTACCCCGCCCCAGCCCCAAAGGCTGGCGTCCGTGGTGACCACCGTCCAATGTACCGGAAGAAAAGACTTCCCCCTCCAGCAAGACCGGAGAGTGAAGCCACCACCGCTCACGCTCCATGCGCGTCACAAACCCATCCATGACAGAGGAAAAGGCTTCCAGGGACAACGCGGTACCCGCGGTACCACACACCCCCCCAGCAGCACCAGAGGGGCGCACGGGCGACAGGCAAAGCAGCGCAGGCGTACAGGCTGCACAAAGAAGGGATCTAGAGGGGTCCGCAGAGCGCAGCCCACAACCACACTCACTGGAATTAGCACAAGGCTGCGGTTCCATTGACTTCAACGCACCGACACACCCCCTCACGCAGCACTGTATATGGTGTGAACGGGCCCCAAGTGTTGACTGTATTTTATAGAGCTTTTCTCTCCACTGACTGTGACCAACAAGCCTGAAACAGCTGTATGCTAGTTGGTGCAATTGGCTGTACAAACATAAGCTGGCCATACACTTTGTGAATGTCGGCCAGTTTGGCCCCTGTCAGTACCCTTCCTTCTGGCATCCTTCTATTAGAAAGTCGAAGGAGCTGGGTAAAAAAAAAATCTTCAGACAAACAGCCAATCAGCTGCCAACGC